TTGTCCTGGCTGCGGCTTCTGCAGGTGGTCTTTTGGGGGGTCCACCACACCCCAAGGTGCTCGATGGCAGAGAGGGCAGGATACCCAGAGGCCTTTCTGATGCCCCGCCCCTCCCCCCCAAGGTAGAGAAAGGTAGTGCTGGCACTGATTGAGCGTGGTTCTCCTCCAGCAGGGCTGGCCTTGCCCTTCTGCGGGGGGCATGTGGCCAGGCTGCTCCGTCCGGCATCACCTGCATGGTCGGTCGGGGGTCTGGCTTGATTTCTGGGAGCCCACATGGTAGGGTGGTTGGCACTTGGTTACTCACCAGAAAGGGGTTGGCTCGAATCCACCACCTGCTTCCAGGGGCAAAGATGAGGCAGCCTGGCTTCTCAGGGAGAAAGCCTTGGATCCCCTCTGGGGTCATCCTGCTCTACCCTGTGGGGTAGCGGGGGGCGGGAGTGGGCTCAACAGCGTTGGTATGGGTTTCGATGGTGGTACTCACTCACTCGGGGTACGCTTTCGGCCAGTGTCCTTTTCTACTCTGCTTATCCCTACAGTTCTCTCTCTGTGCAGGCGTCTTGCTTTGGTCTCTTGAGAGGCGTCAGGCCCCGGCTGCTCACACACCTTGCCCTGCCGTGTCCCCAACACTCCCTCCTAACCTTGTGTCCAAGCGTTGTCGTGGGAAACGGCGAGGGAATTCTCCGGAAAGATGCAAAGCAGAAAGAGCCTGCTGGGGCCCAGGTGGGCTTGCAACTGCCCCATCGCTGCCACGCCTGCATCATGGGCTCTTGATGGACTGTCCTTTGGCGGATGGCAGGAGAGAAGGGAGCCACAGTGTGGGCTGTGGGTTGAGGAAGCGCTCTTCCTCAGAGTGGTGCCCAGGAGGTGCCTGGCAGGTGCACTCTGGGCTGCAGGGGCGAGAAGCGTGGCTGGATCATGCTGGGTGGCCGTGAAGGGGACAGAGGCCCTGGGAGCACAGCCTGGGGGGAGGCTCCCCGGGGTACAGATGATTCGTGTCTGCTCACGCTGGTTTCTTTCCAAGTGTCCCCAGCTGCCTGTCAAGCCTCGGTAGTCCCTGCGTTTCCAGGGCTGTGCAGAGAAAGAGGAGTGGGGGAGGGGGGCGGGCTCACAGCCAGTGTTCCTGTGTAGGGGGCAATAGGGGGTCTCCTCTGGGCAGGCACCAGTGTCCCAGGCCTGTAAATGTCAGAGCAGACTCTGCGGGGTTTGGACAATGGGGGGCCAGGAGCAGAGACCTCCCTGTGCCTTTGGAGCTGCTGGAAGCCCCTCCCCTACTCTCCCGGCTCACTGCAGGCCTGGGGAGGGGTGTGGTTGGGGGGCGAGGAGGACAGGACCCAGTCAGTGCCATGGACTGGGAGGACAAGGGCTCATGCAGGGATTCATTTGGACTGAAAGACAATGAGCTAGGTGACCTGTCTGGCTTACCTGTGGGTTGCACCTGCGGGGAAGGGAGGGACATCAGGGCCACCAGGACTTGCAGTTCCTGGTCCTTCCTCTGGGGAGCCAGGAGTGGGGCCCTCCAAGCAGCCTTCTGGGGGCTCCCTGGAGCCTCTGGGTTCACAGTGGAAACCCCCGTGGTGCAAGCAGTGAAGCCCTTGGCTATAAACGGAAAGCTGACTGTGGGGGCCCACCTGGTCAGAGGTGCCACGGAACAAAGACCTGGCTGGATGCTGCTGGAAATCCAGCCACAGGAACCGAGCTCAGCACTGTTCTCACCCACCTGTGGGCACCAGGGGTCAGGCTGAAGGAAGGACCAGGTTTGAAACCGGGCTGCAGTTGGGGACGGCTGCTCTCTTCCGGACAAACAAAGACGGCCCCTTGAGTCTCTGCCTCCCACAGGGGTGTGAAGACCCCGAATGCCCTGGAGCGAATAGCTGGTGCCCAAGGAGGGGGACAGCACACAGGGCTGGGCCTTCTGAGGAACCCCCCCACTACATTCCTGTAGAGCAGTGGTTCTCGACCTTCCTAATGCCGCGACCCTTTAATATGTCCATGTTGTGGTAACCCCCAGATAAAGTTATTTTCGTTGCTACTTCATAACTGTCATTTGGCTACTGTTATGAATTGGCCAACCCCTGTGAAAGGGTTGTTCAACCCCCAGAGGGGTTGCAACCCACAGGTTGAAAAACGCTGCTGTAGAGCCGGGCTGGTGGGGGAGCACACAGGTGTGTTAATGTGAGTTTCGAAACAAAGACAGGTGTGACGTGTCTGGCCAGGCCTGGGGACCCGGCCCTACCAGATCTGGAGGCCCCTTAAAGTGGGGGCACGGGGGCTTGGATTCTCTGTGTCCTTGCCCCCTGTGCGCTCCCTGTGCAAAGCACACAGACGCTCCTTACCCTCATGCGGGCCTGGAGGGGTCTGCTTCTGGGGGTCCCTTCTCTGGCCCAGGTCCCATCACTGAGTCCCATGCATGTGGGAGAAGAGGCAACACCTCCACCCCCGAGAGAGTGACACGGAAGGTGCTGGCATCTTTCCTGGCCCTCTGTCCAGCTGCCCTCAGGCATCGGGCACACAGAGAGGGAGTGGAGGGGCTCTCAGACTAAGGCTGGGGGGCAGACCCTCAGATAGGAGGGCAGAGCCATCCCTGCTGCTTCCCCGAACAGGCAGTCCCAGAGGGGACTTGGGCCCGGGGACACCGCACCTCACTGTCCAGAGGAGCCTGCCCCCAGGGCCTAGCAGACCCCTTCCAGTCACTGGGTTGGTGACTGCCCTGCCCCCCTCTGCCCAGAAAATCCACCGATGTACAACTTGGCGCTGCTCTCAGGTAGGCAGCCAGGGCCCCCCCAGAGTGGTGGCTGTGGTCCAGGCCACACACACACACATACACACACACACACTCGCCGGGCTAAGGCCTCACTGACTCCCCTGGGCCCCTGGGACTCCAGCCCCTGACCTCCAAGCCCCACACCCTCACAGAGGCCCCCTATGCCATGATGGAAGAGACCCTGGAGGCAGGACAGAGGGGCTCTTGCCCAGCAGCAGAGCTGGCCACCTCCCTCTGGGTGGGGGAGACAGGACACTTGATGAGGCCATGCTCCCTGGGCCCCCAGTGGCCACCCTGGGCCTGCTGGGTGGCGGCAGTATGTGGAGGTCGACCCACTGGCTACAGGTGTGGGTGTCGTGTCGCGGTGGCAATGCCACGGTGTTCCTTCTTCCGTGTCATGCTGATCCCATAGGTGCGGCCGCCGCCGGCCACCCAGCATGCAGGGCCTTGGCTGTGTTGCTGCAGCCACCACTATTCCCATGTCCACCCAGGGCCTCCCTCTCCATGCTGACCCCGAAGCCTGGGCTCTGAAATCCTGCTGCCTAGAGCCGGGAGCTGTCAGCTGAAGGCGAGGCCCGGCCCCCTCCCGTGGAGGCCAGAGTTGCCCTTCCAGCTGTTGTCTTGTGGTGGCTTGGACCCTGAGCCCCGCACAGAGGCCCAGAGAAGTCGATCTGCAGGGACACTTGGCAGGCAAGCAATTGGGGGTTAGCAGGAGCCCTGAGCCTTGAGTTGCCCCTCAGCAAAGGCTGGGCACCATCTGGGACCAATGGAGCCCATGGCAAGGAATGCCCGCAGCGTCCTCTCAGTCCAGAGGGGAGCTGTTGTGGGTGGAGGAGGGCCAGGTTGGACCTCTGGAGGGTAGAAGCGAGTGGGGACCTGGTTCTCAGGGTCTGTCACAGGCTCAGGGCACATCTGCTGTCCTGAGCAGGTCCCTCTGGGCTGGGGACACTGGTGCTGGTCACTCACAAGTGCAGGACCCACCTTTGCTCTACCCCCAGGGCGGCTTCCCTCTTCCTGGCAGAGCAGCAGGTTCCAGGGCCTTTTCTTGGTCCACAAATTGGGTGCTGCTTCCCCTCTTCTGGGGTACCACACTGCACCCTGCCCATCAGGGGTGGGGTGGAAATGTTGGGGGGGGGCGTGGAAGGAGGCAGTGGTGTTGTTGGGGGAGTGGACTGGAGTCTGCTCTGGACAGACAGCAGCCCAAAGGCACAAGATGTGGTGTGAACTGCAGGGCTGACTGTGGGCCCCTGCCTCGCAGAGCCGGGGAGAGGCCCCCCGAGGTGTCCAGCAGAAGGCGTTTCCAAGCAGGTGTCCTGGGTGGGGACCTCCGTGGCTGTAGACCAAGTGCCTCCTGGCTCTTCACCCACCTTGTCCTCTGTCCACCTCTTCCCCAGTTGAGTCCAGCTAGGGGGTCCGCTGCAGCTGATGGACAGTGAGTGGCAGGGGTGGTGTGGCCATGGCCCCCAGGTCAGTGCAGAGGAAGGTGGGGACTTCCTGCTCAGCCCTCAGGAAAGCTACCCTCTTTTCCCAGAACAGGATGAGGCAGCCACCCCTCTCCTCTGGACATGTGCTCTTGGACAGAGGCTCATGTGTCTGCTGGGGGGCCAGGCCTCAGGCATGGGGAAGCTGGGTGAGGAGTGGGGCCAGGGCTTGTGGGTGCCGTGTGAGAACAGGGAGAGATGTTCGCCAGGGAGGTCCCTCAGCAGCCCCCTGGGAGGACCGTCCCCCGGAGGACCCACAGCAGGAGGGTCGATACCTCATTGTCCCTGGGGCTGGTGGGGAGGCTGTGCCTGACAGAAGGCAGAGGCCTCCTGCACGCTGGTGCTGGAGACACAACCGTGGTGCCCCCCAGCCCAGCCCAGCTGGCAGAAGTCTCCCTGGCTCAGGGCAGGCGCCTATTGTGGGCAGTGAGCATGTGCCCTGGGCTATCTGCATTCTCCCCAGAGCATCTCACATGTGTGCACACAGCACACACGTGTGTACATGCAACGCACATGTACATACTCCCATGTGTGCACACATGCACACACTCCCATACTCATGTACAGCATGTATGCATACATCCATGGGCACACGTATGGAAGCACATACTCTCACACATTCTACTCACTCATGTACAATACTCCATATGCACATCCTACTGACACTCACACGCACCATGCACTCATGCATACCCACACACACTTGTGCCCATGTACACAGGCAGGCATGCACACTTAACTCACATGCTTCTCAACCGTCCAGGCTGGTTGCTGTATTTGGAGGACCCCCCATGTGGAGACACAGAGACACACCTCCCACAGTCTGCGGCCTGACCGGTGGCTCCTCCGCATGGCAGATGTGGGAGGCGTGGCCTGGGCAGCAGGGAGGGCAGGCCTCACCCCACTCTCCCATGCAGACCACAGCCTACTGCTTCCAAGGTGGACCTTGGGGCGGGAGTGGTTCCGACTCTCCCGCCTCAGAAGGTGCTGGTGGGTGAGCTGTCCTCTTGCCCTGCAGCCCATGGTCCCTTGGGTGCTCATGGTGGGGCACACTGACATCCATCAGAGCCAGTGATGCGGGAACCCAGCCTGGAGCCCCAACGGCTGGGTAGGCCTCGCTCCGGTCCAGCCGCTCTCAGGCAGGTGAGCGTCCTGCTCTGTCACGTCCAGCTCTGATCTCGCAGTCCACACGCAAGCTCCCCTTTCTGCCCCCCACCCCTCCCACATGCCAGACCGTCACTTGGGTCCCCCCACCCACGTCTTATCTTCGGAAGACAAAGCTTTCACGGGGCATCTTGGGGCCCTTCCTGCCTTCCCGGGGAGGCTGGGGCAGAGGGGTCTCCACCAGGCCACCGTAGGGGCAGCTGTCGGAGTCCGGGTGGTGGCCGGAGCACTCCACGGCGGGGATGTAGCCGCTGTCCCACATGCCCGGCCCACACAGCTTGCACAAGTCATGAAGGCTGCACGGGATGCGGGGCAAGAGACGGAACTGGTACAGCAGGCTCCTGGCCTGCAGGGAGAGGGGGGTGAGGAGGGAGGAGCTGTGTGTGTGTGTGCCTGCACACGCGTGAGTGCACCTGCATGTGCGTGAGTGCACATGAGGGCCGTGCAGCGGTGGACGATGGACACACACACACACACACACTCACACACTCTCTCTCACAGAGGGGTGAGGGGCTGGGCTGCAGGGCCCAGCTGAGCATGCGCCCAGGGCCGACCCACTCACTAAACCCCGCCCTGCCCAGCGTCCTGGGACACTGGGGTCAAAGACCAGCCCTTGGAGCTCACTGAGCAGGCCCCGAAACGGCCTCTTCGGGCTGACCACTGAGTGGCCTCCCTCATACCCTGTGTTGTACAGGACAGCACCCTCCTCCTGGACGGCTGACCACTCCCCCTTCACATTCACATCCTCCCAGTCACCCCTGCCCGCTGTGGGGGATGAGCGGAGGGGGGGGCTACCCATCCTGGTGCACCTGCTGTGAGACGTGGGGCTCCCCATTCCCATGCGGCAGATGGGGAGGGGCCTTCCCATCCCTGTGTACCCCCACCCCCACCGGGCAGGGGCTCACCTTTCGGAGGACCAGCTCTCCATTCATGTGCATGGCCAGGTTCCCAAAGTGCAGGAGCATCTGGTCAGTGGCCAGCCGCTGCTCGATGACGTCGTCTCCATAGATGGCCACGATGGCCACACAGACGAAGAGGTGGAAGTAGTCCGTCTGGGAGACCGGGGAGGGAGGGGGCTTCCATGAGGCTGTGCTCCCCCACCCCCAGCCCTGGCCAGGTCGGGGCAGAGGGGGGCTGTGGCGAGGAGGCCTCCCACGCTACCCGCTGGGGCCTTCTGCGGGCCACTGGGCCTGTTCTGTGCTGGGTTTCCACTCTGAGACTGTGCCACGGTGTCCGGGGCTGGAGCGCAGGGTCTCCCAGTTCTGGAGCCCCAGGGCTGACTCAGAGCCACGTGCTGCCTGGAAGCTCGAGGGGGGCTTTGGGGGTTACAGTTTTATTGTTGGGAGGCAGAGCGTTTAAGCAACATCACATCTCAGCAGTTTACAGCTCTCCGATCACAGACCAAACTGGTCATCGACTTCCATGTACGGCAGTGAGGGAGGGCTCGCCGTGTAGGGCAGGCAGAGGTGCGGGCGCGGTCCTTTGGGACACGTGTTGAGCAACAGAACTTTCATTTCAGTTAAAACAACTTTTAAACATCCTTAACTTTTTTGTTTTTATTTTAAAACATCACGCTCGTGCAAACACAGACGTATCTGATGTGACTGAAACGTTCGTGGCGGAAGTTTGAACGACACTAAAGAAAAACAACGTTTAAAAACACTGCCTGGTCCTGTGCCATCCTTAGACTTGTCCTTAGTCTGAGCCCAGGGCTGCGGCCACTGTCCGTCCTCTCGTTGAGGGCCTCCCTTTTTGTCGCGGCCCCTCCCCTTTACCAGGCAGGACATCCTTCTCCGGGGACTGGTCTCTCCTGACGACACGCCCAAGGGTGTGAGACCAGGTATGTTCCGGCCATCCTTCTTCCAAGAGAGACGGGCGGGTTCAACGGCGGCCCCGGTCCTGTCAACGGCCTTCCCCAGCGCCGTCGGTCACGCGTCTCAGCTTTCCTCTGAGGAACGGTCCACATCTCACATGCCCTGGGGTGACTGGAAATACCACGGCTTGGGTCAGACACGCCCGTCTTCAGAGCAACCTCCTTGGTTTTCCATGCGCTCAAGAGGCCTGTGAGGAGTGTCACCTCCTGAAATGCATCATATGAGCTCCCAACGGCCGCTTCCACGAGCGAACATCGATGACGGGTCCAGGCAAGGGGACGTCTTTGGCGACGTCCACCGTTCTCTCCGTTTATCCTGACGTGACCTGCTGGCCCTGGTGTGAGGGCTGTGTCCCTCTTCACACGTCGTGGTCCACGCCGCCGTCCTCGGCCTTCATCAGCAGGTCCCCCTCGCTGTCAGCAAGCGAGGCTGTGTTGTCTGCACACACAGGGTGCTAACACGCAGGCCTCCAAACCAACGCCACCTTCTTCCTCGTCTAGAGGATGTGCTCAGCACACAGACTGAACAATACGGCGAGAGGCTACAACCCGACGCCCATCTTCCTTGATTCTGAACCACCTGGCAGGACAGCAGGAGCAGGGCGGGTCCCGACAGCAGTCCATCCTGGGCCCTCTGCTGGACGCCCCAAGGACATGCTGCCTTTGCTGAGTGAGGCCGGGGCCGGAGGAAGGACGGGGAATGAGGGAAGTGTATGTTTAGTCTCGGATGTCCGCCGCCCAGACCGGCCGGAACTGTGTTCCCAAACCAGCCCCGGATGTCGGAACTGTGTTCCCAAACAGGCACGGATGTCCACCATCGACACCGCCCCAGGAAAGGGTCCACAAGTCCAGACCACCACCTCAGCAGCAGGGCTGGGGGCCTGGGCACATTCTGGACAGGGCAGGGCAGGCTGAGCAGGGGGACCAGGACCGTCCAGCCCCACAAATAACTAGCTCTCCTCAGGCCAGCTCCAATTCATGGTGGCGTTCATCCTCCTCGGTCAGAACAGAGCTGACCCTGTGGCCCTCTCAGTGGATCACCAGGCCTTTCTTCCAAGGCGTTTCTGGCTGGAATCGAACCACCAATCTCGGGAGAAGGACCCAGCTGTCTCCACCCACAAAGAGAACCTCCTGGAAGACCCCTGAGGCTGTTCTACTCAGTCACCTGCGGGCACCTGAGTGGCAACCAACCAGAAGTGAGCCCACACAGCTGGGGGGAAATTTGGGGATTTCTCCCTTTTCCCATCCATCAGCTGGGGAAATAGTGGGGAAGGGCCTGTAACCGGTGGCGCGCTGTCGGCCCAAAGAGGCCAGGTGCGGCTCGTCCAGGTCTCAGGGCTCCTGCGTGCAGGCTAGGAAGCTCTTGGCTGGCAGGAAGGGCCGCAGGGCCCCGGGTGAGCCCCGCCCATTGCTGGAAATGGCTAGTTTTATCGCCAGTCATACAATTCGGCAGCCCGATCATATTAAAAAGAGTTGTGCAATCAGTGTTGGAACATTTTCTTCTCTATGGCATTCCCTCTCATTAGCTCCCCATTTCCCTTCCACCTCTCCGGCCATCCCCCCAGGAAACCACTGGTTCTGTTACATCTCTATGGATTTATCTACGCTGTGTTTCATAAAAAACATACCCCAAAGAACCAAAACCCAATACCATGAACAAAATCAAACTGAGAAAAGCCTCAAATGAAAAGAAAGCAGAAAATATTAAAAACTAGATCAATTTTAAAATGGGTCTAAAGGGAGATCAGCTGATAAAATGTTAGCCTAACGCCAATGCTCTCTGAAAATAGCCAAGGCTATTTTCGTCTCTTGCCGGTGGTCAGGGGGCATTCACCGAAGGCTGGTCCATGTGTGGTCCCCGCGAGTGGACTTTGGGCGTCCACGGTGAGGCCCTAGCCTGCTGTGAACCAGGTGTTCACAATTTAAGCTCTGATAGCGTTCCCTCCTCCAGTCTTGGATTTTATTAGTCCTTGGATCACACAGGTCCGTGTGCTCTGTCTGTGTGGACTGAGGGGACCCCTCGCTCAGATGACTGCTTGTTTGAAGACAAGACTTTAAGACCCCAGAAACTATTCCTTCTGGTAGCTCGGCACCACCTGATTTCTTCACCAGGCTTTGCACCCATATTGGATGTCAAGGCTGAGGGGCAGGCCCGACGCTCCACTGCAGGGACGTTGGGTTCATGTTGGGGGTAGCAGGTGGAAGTTGACGCCGTTGGGAGGGGCAGCAGACGGGTACGGGTGACAGGAGGTAAGCTAGCCCACCCCTCAGAACACTGTGAGGAGGTGGGACAAGGTGCTGGTTGAGCCGCCCACTACCATGCAGTGCAGTCACCCCACTGATGTGCCTCCCCTGACGGTGACCGCAGGGAGCTTGGGCCCACTGAAGCTGCCAGCACAGAGCGAGCAGGAGTCAGCCTGTGGGACCAGAGAGCCTGGGGTGGTGGGCCGTGGGGCTGCTGGGCAGGGAGGGAGGGGACAGGCTCACCTGGTAGTGGGCCCAGCAGGCCTCCCAGATCCGCAGGGCCTCAGCCTCTGGGAACTCGCGCTTGAAGCAGAGCAGCAGCCAGCGGTGGCAGAACAGCATCTGTAGGCCGTCCTCGCCCAGGGACACCAGGTGCTGGTAGAAGCCCAGGTGGGTCAGGCGGAGCAACTCCCGCAGGTAGAACTGGGGGAGGCAGGCAGTCAGCGGCAGCCCCCAAAGAGCAGGCGCCCATGGCCAGGCCGGCATCAGTGTGTGGCTGGGCTTGGGCTCACACCCGCCTTTGCCTGTTCATCCCCATGACGCAAGCCCGGGCCAGAGGCCGAGCACCCGTGTGGTCGTGTGGGTGGGGGCTGAGCGAGAGCACAGGGGCAGAGCCAGCCACTCGCGTGGGAGCTCTTTCTAATCCCTCCATCCCGGTAAGGAGGGCAATCATCGATGGAACCCCCAGGCCGAGTGCCCTTGGCAGCGGCCACCAGCTCCCCTGTGCCCACAGAGGGTCCTGAGCAGGGAGGGGGCACCCAGAGGGAGATGCTGTCCCCTGCTGGCAAGTTCAATGGAAGCCCGCCCAGTGACATGGGACCACCCGTTTGGGGTGAGGCCTGCAGCGCAGCTCCCTGGGCAGCCTGTGGCCACAGCAGGCTGCCCGGCACCCCTGGCTCAGAGCCGGCCCTGCCCACAGGCTGTGAGCGGCCAGCTCCCAAGTGTCCCCCCACAGCTGCAGTGGAGGGCAGGGTGTCCTGAGGCCCCTCACCAACTTCCTGTTCTCCAGACAAACCTTTACACAGGCCCCCTGGGGGCTCTCCACACCCTGACACACCAGTAGGGCTCAGTTAGTCTTTCTCGGGCCCAGACTGGGAGGCAGCCCTCAGCCCCCGGTGCTATGTCGGCTGCACCCCCACCTCCCAAGCCCTCTTCCACTGGGTGCATCTGCAGCCTAGACTTTGGTTAGATGAGTCTCCTGGGACCCTGATATCAGGGAAGGACCCGTCCCCAGCCCTGTACCCGAGGTCTCCATTCGGTCCACCTCACCCATGTGGCCCACCTCGGCCAACACAGCCTGGCCATGTGTGTCCAGGACCCGGCTCCCAGACAGCCCAACACAGGGCACCCCTCACTCCCTGACACTGCACCCAGGCCCTATGCACCAGCCTCCTCCCCGCCCATCCAGGGGCTCCCCCAGGAGATAAGGATCACACCCCAGGGCCAGGTGGCCGACCCCCACCTATGCCGGCTTCTCACTCAGTGAGGGGGCCACTGGGCTGCACTCCCCGTGTGGGGACAGCCGTGCCCACGTGGGAGGCCTCTGTAGGGGGCATCCCCCAGCGGCTGAGGACAGGGTCCCACCCTCCTTGGCTGGACTGTGGGTACAGGGAGGTGGGCAGCTCAGCACCAGGCCCTGTGAGCTGCATGGCCCCCATGCCCATCGGGGCTGACCTAGTGCCCACTCAGGGCTGCCTGGCCCCTGTAGCCAGAGGAGGGGGGCGGGCACCCCCTTGTGGCACCGCAGACGTGCACTCGGGCAGGGGTGGGGGGGACACAGGGTCTCACCAGCTGCTTCTCCATGTCCTCATCCCGGGGGGAGCTGACAAAGATGGTATTCTGCATCAGCCCGACGAAGCACCAGAAGGCATCCGACTCGTCCAGGACCTCGGCCAGCACCGGCGCCACCAGGTCCGACATGCCCTGTGAGTACCCGATGGCCGGGTTGTACACGGCGTAGTTCAGCAGGATCCTCCTGGCGCCGGGGGACACATGGGCAGGGAGGTCATGGCGCTGGCCTGCGGGGATCCAGGCTACCTCCCACCCCGTGTGCCTCGTCCCCGGTTCTCACGGCTCTTCGTTGCCTCTCTGGGCACCTGCTTCTGGGGGGTCAGTGCTGACTCACGGGGCCCACCTGAGACACAACCAGTGGCCAGGTTTGCACTTGTTTCCCACTCAGGGCTGGGGGGTGGGGGGGGGGAAGACCCTCTGGCTGTAGGTGATCAGCCGTCCCACACCCGGGTGTCCCCTGGGGACCTCTGCACAATCTGCTGTCAACTTGCCAAGGGGCAGACAGCACAGCTTGCGATCGGCAGGAATGCAGCCTGTCTTCGTGGGCGGGGGTGACTGTGTCTGTCCCTGGGGTGGACACGCGGGGACATTGTTTGGGCTGCTCTCTTTGTGCAGTCCCTAGACACTAACCAGGCTTTGGTTAGACGAGTCTCCTGGGACCCTGCCTCAGGCTGTGTGGGGGTTAAGACTGAGCTGAGGGACTGCCCCAGGGGAGCTGGCGGAGGGGGGGTGGGGGCAGGGTCTCCAGAGTCCCACCAGTCTCTATGAAGGTATCTGAATAGTGACTCTGATCTCGTTTACGAGTATGAGCTCTCACACTCAGTAACACCCCGCTTCCCCGGACACACACACATACACACTCTCTCCAGGGCCCTGTAAACGAATCCCTGTCAGAGCAGTGGGTAGAGGTAGCCAGGCCCCGTCTAGTCCCTCTGGTCTCAGGGTCCTGGAGCCCCAGGCTGTACATTTCCATAGAAGCAGCTTCACTCAGTTTTCCCTCCCAGGGCACTGATGGGTTACCTTTAGGTTACCAGTGGATCACTTAATCCATTGTGATACCTAAGCACCTTCCAGGGGACCTAGAGAAGGCTCTCGTGGGCGCCTGGGGAGGGCTTGGGGAGGTCCCGCCCAGGTCGCGATGGCCATAGGACGGATGCTCATTATGTGGCCTTAAGGCGCCCGGGGGCAGAGTGGGCAAGCACTGGACTGTCTGAAAGGTCGGTCTGGAAAACCAACGAGGCCATTGACCCTGTAGAGACGGACAGCCTCAGGACCCCTCAGACCCTGGGGCCCGCACAGGTCAGAGTCCCTTCAGGGTCAGTGGACTGGTTTTCGTGGTTTAGGGAGGTGCTGAACCCCTGTGTGTGAGTGTTGAGTGAATGAGCGGCCCGCCCTCCTTCTGGAAGGGTACACGATTCTGCGGAAGGGCAAGGGCATGCTCGGGTTTGCAGGGTGGGAGGTGGACACAGGGCAGCTGGACACCACGCTAGCCTGCTGCCCTCAAGCTCTGAGCATGTGACTACCACTCCCTGGGAACTGTGCCGTCTGCGTGTGTGTGGATGACGTGGGTGTGAATGGGCACAGTGTGTGCGACTCTGTGTGCCTGCACTGCGTGTGTATGTGCCTGTGTGTGAATGTGTATGGTGGGCATTTGTGCCTGTGTGATTGTGACTATACGTGGTGTGGGGGTGAGTCTAAGGGTGATCCTGGGAGGGTGTGTGTTGCCCTCCCCTCCAAAAAGGTGAGCTTGTGTTAGTGTGAGCAAGTGTTGGGGCTGCCCTCCCTCTGAAGAAGTGTGTGCGTAAATGTGAGCGAGTGTGAGTAGGTATGAGCGCGTATGGGCAGGTGTGAGTGGGTGTGTGAGTGTGAGTGTGGGCAGGTGTGAGGGTGTGAGCGAGTGTGAGCAGGTGTGGGTGTGGCGGGTGTGAGCAGGCGCGTACCTCATGCTCTCCACGTTGGGGTTGCCCTCCCCTCGGAAGAAGTGGTTGCTGCGGTCGGTGCGCACCACGTCCTTGTCCACGGTGAATTGCACTCGGCGCCAGAACTCCTGGTGGGCCTCGGGCGCCATGGACAGCCTGCGACGGCAGAGAAGGCCACAAGTGGGTGCCGGGAGACTGGAAGTGTGGCCCACGGGCAGGGAAGCTCCATGGGGGGAGGAGCCTTCTAGAAGCCTGACACATGAGCCCCCCTGGTCACCCCTGTCACCCTGTTCTTGGGAGGCTTATTTCCACAGAAACCAGGGCACATGACCATGCAGAGTGGTACCTCAGAGGGATTTCACAGGGACAGAGGGCAGGGGGCTTGCAGGGGGTGAACGGCGGTACCGTCTCTGTTGGATGTCCAGGTAGTCCCTGCGCCGCTGGGCCCGCAGGGCCTCACGCTCTGCGGACGTGGACTGGGGGCTGTAGTAGCGCAGTAGGAAGGGCCAGACTTCCCCTCGGATGGACCCATCAATGCCGCCAAAGAAAATGGCCTGCAGGAAGTGGGCGAGCTGGGGTGGGCTGCTCCCTGAGAAGGGGGCCTAGATCCACAGGGGTGATTTGCACTTGTTTGGAAAGGGCCAGCTGGCCCCCCTTCCCAGCCTGCCGCAGCCCCACTGATTTCAATGTCAATACCCCCCCTGGGGTGGCTCTTGGAGGAACCTGTGATTCCCACAGAGCCTAATCCACACGAAGCCCCCCTCCCCGATGCCAGCCCACCATACAGGCTGGCAGGGCTCCCCAAACCCCTTGTTTTAAGGCTGAGGTCTGGATGGCTGGGTGGGGGCCTTCCCTCAAAGCCTCACTCACAGGGAGCTGGTGTGTGTGTGTAGGGGGGGCGCGCCCCACCCCGGCCCCAGGTGGACAGTCCTACCTTGCGCAGCTTGTACTCCTCCTCCACCTGGCCCAGCTCGTTCAGGTGACTGAGCCAGGTGACCACGTCCAGGCCCCTGTGCGTGCTCTCCTCCGGGTGGGTCTCAGACGAGGGCAGCTTGGGCCGTCGGATGGAGAACTGCATGCGGGTCTTCTCGTCCGACACCTGCTGGACAGACCGGCCGCTGGGCAAGGGCATGTGTGTGTGTGTGTGTGTGTGTGTGTGTGACTCTCTCTCTCTCTCACACTCTCCCACGCTGCCCTCCCCGAACTGAAAAGCCCCATTGGGTGCAATTTAGAATGAAAAGTACCTTCTCCTCCAAACCCGGCTCCCACACCAGGGCCAGTGCCCCCCCCTCCACAGTGGGCGTCCTGCTGGGCTGGGGGATGGGGGTGGCCTCTCTGGGTCCTGCGGTGACCACATGTATTCCATGTGAGGGACCACATACAAAGGG